TTGCATTCCCCCCACCCCCTCCTGGTGACTTTGGCCAAGCCGTGTTGTCCACTTTCGGAGTCTGGGGAAGTGGGGTTGGGGGCGGGAGGTAGGATTGTTCACTAGCAGAGAGGAGTCCTCCTGGAAATCTCCTCCTGCTCCACCAGGCATTTGTGCCCTAACCCTCCGGAGGGGAGTCACGCAGTCCCGCGCCCAGTACTTTCCGCGGGCGAGGGACGACCCGCTTGGCTGCCCTCTGTCCCTAGCCTCCCCGCCATCCCTCCAGTCCCTGGAACTGACCGAACACGTGCTTGGCGCAAGAAGGTGGAAACGGGTCAGATTACTGGGTGCAGCATCCCCTTTTCCTCCGACTGTGTACATCCCTCTTAGCCGCATCCCCCCCTCCGTGACTCAGCACCCCGCTTCTGAGGCCAGAGAGGTGGCGGGAATGGGGTTCGGCCTCGTGAGGCGAGCCGGCCCCTCTCCAGCCGGACCCCGGGTGAACGGACGGGCAGAGACAGCTGGCGCTGAGCGAGAGCGCGGGCCGAGGCCAGGTTGGGGGGAGGGGAGAGAGGTGTGTGTAGGGGGTGGTATTTATAGCCCAGGGACCACGGCCGAAATCCAATCCTCGCTTTCGGCTGGGATGTAACTGGAAAGAATCTAGAAGGGGAGTGAATGCAGGGCCAGGGTGCAGGATGCCGCTCACTCTGCCCAGGGCAGGGCGGGTTACCTCCGGGGCCTCACCGCAGGTTCCGCTTCCTTTTCTGGGTATTTGGAAACCTTCACCCCGCCATTTCGGTGCTGGGAAGGGAGGGTGCGCGGGCCCTGCGCCCGCACCACTTTGGCTCTTCAGGGGTTAATTTCAGAGTAGCAGGGATGAGCCTAGGGCAGCGAGTGTCCCAGTGCCCGCGCCGCTCATTGCCCCTTATTGCCCGCACCTGCCGGCTGTGCTTTTTCCGCGAGGGCTATGCGGTTGTTGAAGATGGTGAAGACACCCAGAGTGTGGGAGGTGGAAGTGGGGAGAGGAGCCAGATGGGCTTGATCCCCAGAGCCAAATGGGATTTGCAGGAGGGGAGAGGGCATCCTGATGGCGTGTGGTCAGTTAATGCCAGACTGGAAGGCTGAGATGCCTCTGCAGCCCACAGAAAAGAAAGGGGGAGAGGGTAATATGAAATTCTAGTTGTTCATCCTCAAAGCAAAGAATTAACCCAGTGGGGGGCCTGTAGCTATGACCTCCCAGCTCTGGAAAACCTTCTGTGCCTTCTCAGGTTCTTGAGAAGCTGGTTTGTGGGAGTAAGGTCAGGAACAGCTGGAAAGTCGCTTGTCCTTGTCTCAGTTACTGCGGTGTCTGCCCTGCTCACATGCATTTGCCCTCTCCGTCCTCCCTGAGTGTCCTGAGAACGTGGCAGGGTCATGAGGAGCTGCAGCTCTTTCTTGAGAAGGTCCCCACGGAGTAGACTGAGGCTGGGAAGTCCTATGCAGGGGAGCCTGGGCAGGCTGCCAGCCTCTTCTGACCTCTGCCCAGCCCTAGCCTCTACTTTTGCCAACTGAGTCATCCTAGCTGGTAGGTGGTAGGGTGGGAGAGAGGCTCATCAGGTGAGGACTTGTAGATCTGGGGCTTATGCTGTGTCCCCTCTCTTTACCCCTCAGCGTGAATGCATCTCAGTCCATGTGGGGCAGGCAGGTGTCCAGATGGGCAATGCCTGCTGGGAGCTCTACTGTCTGGAACATGGGATCCAGCCTGATGGGCAGATGCCCAGTGACAAGACCATTGGAGGAGGGGACGACTCCTTCACCACCTTCTTCTGTGAAACTGGTGCTGGAAAGCACGTGCCCCGGGCAGTGTTTGTGGATTTGGAGCCCACTGTGATTGGTGAGAGGAAGAGGGGGTGGAATTGAGGGGAGTGGAGAGCGACTCTAAGCTTCTCTCTGGAGGGAGGGTGTCCAGACCTGGCTTTCCTGGCCCTGCACGCTCGCCCTGTTTAAAGCTAAAGAAGGCAAACTTATCGCAGGCTGGTCTGGGCAGCAGCTTTGGGTGTCTCTCTTACCCTGCTATCTCAGGCTGGCAGAAGGAGGAGCTCCTCCATACATCTGACCGAAGCTACCAGGCTGGGGGAGGGAGGGTCCTGCTGAGCACAGCGCTGTGGTTTGTGCCCTTCCAGATGAGATCCGAAATGGCCCATACCGGCAGCTCTTCCACCCAGAGCAGCTCATCACTGGCAAGGAGGATGCTGCCAACAACTATGCCCGAGGCCACTACACCATTGGCAAGGAGATCATTGACCCTGTGCTGGACCGGATCCGCAAGCTGGTGAGAATTTGGGATGAAAGGAGGGAGCTTTTGAGACCACGTTAATGGTCAGGAACATTTTTTTTTAGATCTATTTCAGGGGGTCATCTCTAATTGTATGTGTTCCAGAGTGTGCTGCTGCTATGGAATACTCATCATCTTTGCCCTGACTCCTGAGATAGTTTAGGCTTCTATGGGACCAGAAGATAGCATTCCTCAGACCCCTCCCCTACCTACATTGCTCTTTCTCTTTCGCACCTTGCAGTCTGACCAGTGCACAGGACTTCAGGGCTTCCTGGTGTTCCACAGCTTCGGAGGGGGCACCGGCTCTGGCTTCACCTCGCTCCTCATGGAGCGGCTCTCTGTCGACTATGGCAAGAAATCCAAGCTGGAGTTCTCCATCTACCCAGCCCCCCAGGTTTCCACGGCCGTGGTGGAGCCCTACAACTCCATCCTGACCACCCACACCACCCTGGAGCACTCAGACTGTGCCTTCATGGTGGACAATGAAGCCATCTATGACATCTGTCGTCGCAACCTGGACATTGAGCGCCCGACCTACACCAACCTCAACCGCCTCATCAGCCAAATCGTCTCCTCCATCACAGCTTCCCTGCGCTTCGACGGGGCCCTCAATGTGGACCTGACAGAGTTCCAGACCAACCTGGTGCCCTATCCTCGCATCCACTTCCCCCTGGCCACCTATGCGCCAGTCATCTCTGCAGAGAAGGCCTACCATGAGCAGCTGTCAGTGGCAGAGATCACCAATGCCTGCTTCGAGCCTGCCAACCAGATGGTGAAGTGTGATCCCCGCCACGGCAAGTACATGGCCTGCTGCCTGCTGTACCGCGGGGACGTGGTGCCCAAGGATGTCAATGCCGCCATCGCTGCCATCAAGACCAAGCGCAGTATTCAGTTCGTGGACTGGTGCCCCACGGGCTTCAAGGTTGGTATCAACTACCAGCCACCCACTGTGGTGCCCGGGGGTGACCTGGCCAAGGTGCAGCGTGCCGTGTGCATGCTGAGCAACACGACCGCCATCGCCGAGGCCTGGGCCCGCCTGGACCACAAGTTCGACCTGATGTATGCCAAGAGGGCGTTTGTGCACTGGTACGTGGGCGAGGGCATGGAGGAGGGTGAGTTCTCTGAGGCCCGGGAGGATATGGCTGCTCTGGAGAAGGATTACGAGGAGGTGGGCATCGACTCCTATGAGGACGAGGATGAGGGAGAAGAATAGAACAGCTGCCTGGAGCCCACGCACTATGTTTATTGCAAAATCCTTTCGAAATAAACGGTCTCCATGCACGGTCTCTTGTCCCTTCTGTGAGTGCCCGAGCTGCCGCTTCCCCTTTGTGCTGCTTCTGCTGCCGCCCTATTTACTGCTCATGACCCTTTCCCTTCCATGGCTGAAGGTGAGACCTGCCAAGGGGTCCTTGCCAGGCCCAGGAAACATGACCCCAGGGTCGCCTTCCTTGACGTAAGGTCCTAGGGGCGCCCACGATAGGGAGGAAATGAGGACCGAACCCTGGATCTGTCTGTCCAGCCACAAGCTGCTGTAGGATACGAGTCTTCACTTCCTTTCCAAGTAGGAGTTAAAGTCCAGCACTTTCTGTATTTGAGAGTTAGACTGCTACCCTATTCTGTTGCTGCTTCTACATTCACCAACTCTGGAAGCAAGGCTTGGCCCAAGCATCTCTGTGTTATGAGGGCTTGGGAGTGGGGCTGAGCTGGCCCAGAGTTCCTGGGCATGGAGCCTAGTCATAAGCTTGGGGGATGGGAGGGAACAAGGGCAATCTCCTCAAGTTCTGTGTGTCCCTGCGTCTCCCAGCAGCTTTGCATAGCTTACTGTCTGCCTTGCTGCTTTGCCAGAGCCTAGGGCTGTGCCATTAAAAGTCAGGTCGTCTCCCGTTTGTGCTTTCTTTCTGCCCTCAGCCTCTGTGCTAGCTGGGGGGAGCCTCCTGCCAGGGCCCTGGGGAAAATCTCAACTTTGCTAATAGGCACCCCAGGACCCACACTGACGTCAGCATGTGGGGGTGGGCACGGTTGGGGGGCAGAAGCTTCAATCTCAGGAGCAGGAGATGCCAACCCTGCCCTTGCCTCCCCTCCCTGCTGATTCAGGGACACAGTGCCCTTCCCTGGGGAACAGGTTTCAAGCCCAGCAAAGGCAGGGCCCCTGTTTACTCAGCAGACTAGGCAGGAAGTGGCAGCTGGATACTGCCACGCCACAGTGGCCTCATTAATCATTAACCATGTGTGAGCTAGAACCATCTGGGCGAGACTGGGCCAAAATGGCTGCCCCCTCCACTCTCCTTGCCCCCAGGCTGAGGCTGGGAGACCTGCTATGTCTCAAAGCTTCCTCAGGTATCTCCACCCAGAAGCCCTTGCCTGGCAAACCGGCTGGGCTGCTTTGACTAAGCTACCCGCCCCTGGGACCAAAGGAAGGAAAGGAGTTGAGGGTGCTTTTAGGGGGCCCTGCTCCCAGTTCTTGGCATAGAAGTCAGCTTGAGCCAGAGTAGCTTTATGTTTTTGATCAAGACAAGCTAGAACTGCCCACCGCCAACCAGCCAGCTCTAAGGTAAGGATACCCGCCTCCTTACATGGAACGATGAAATCACACCATTCCTGACTCTACATCAGTCCCTCTTCTTCCCAGGCTGCTCCCCTGGAAATGACACCCAGACTCCAGACCCCCTGCACCTCTTCTCACTGTAGGAACAATGAGGCTAAGATCCACACCAAGCTATTTTCACTTTATTCTATTTATACATTCTCCTGCTCCTCGAGTTGGAGCAGACATGATGGAAGCTCAGCAGTCCTGCTCAGAGCCTTGACATATTCTATCCGTTTCCCCTTCCCCATCCCCCCCACACCCCAACTCAGGGCCCCTGTCCCGTTGTCGCTCTTGGGTGAAGAGAGCAGAAGCAGAGAAAGAAGACTGAGCTGCCCTCAAATACAAGAGAGCATCCTGGATATAATGGACAGATTCCAGTGAGGGATGGGAGACTCTTTCCAAGGCACAGGGGCCACGTCCTCAATGTGGCCACGTTTATTCAGATTTGGGTAGTGTGCTGGCCCGGAGCTGAGGGTTGCAGTGCCTCCAACTGACTGAGGAGGAGAGGAATGTGAGGGCGCTGCTGCGGGTCCACGGTCATCATGGAGGCCAGCAGCTGCCGCAGTGCTGAAGAATGCCTGTGGGAGGAGGGCAGGGTGACTGCAGGGCACCCATCCCCCGTGCTAAGGCTCCGACTGTGCTCATGTCAGGGAGGAGTCTGAAATACTTAGTGCCCGTTACCGCTCACCTGGGGCTCTGCGGGATGCTGAGTTGGTTCTGCACAGCAAGGGCCACACTGTCACCCTTCTGGAACACCATGTCATAAGGGCCTTCCCCAAACATCATGGCATATAGCACACAGCCTAGGGACTGAGCATAACTTGGTTATTCCTTGGAAGAAGACCAGTGGAGGTGATCACTCTCCTCTTAATTCTGTAGTGAAAGGAGACTACATAAGCCAGAAGGACTATGCCGACCTCAGCCATGTCACACCACCAGGGCTCAGAGAAAACTGCCAGTTAGCCAGAGGCCTCTGCACCCCTTGCTTAGTCACTGCCTTCAGCCCTGACATTTAGCTGTACCCCAGGATTTAACCACTTCCTGAGCAACTGAATACAGTGACAGTTCCCAGGAAGGAAGTCAAGGGGGATGGGGATATATATGGTTCCTGGGGCCCCATGCACCAGAAACCTGCTCCTCTCCCCCACCGTAGGTGCAGAGCAGTATTCCTCCCCACCCAGATTCCCACCCACATGCTCCTCACCCAGACATCAGTCCGCTCATCGATGACACAGTGGCTCTGCACAGAGAAGAGCTCCGGGGCCCGGTATGAGATGGTGCACCGCTGAGCTGCCCAGTCCTGGAACAGTGGCCCCAGAGCTCAAAAGTGGGACAACAGGTCATGGTCATGTGACCAAACTGGGGCATGCAGCAGAAGGGGTCAAGGATGGGGAGCAGGTGGGCAAAGGAACCTGGAGACTCTCTTACCTGCAGGGCCAGAGCCTGGCGGGAGCCCTCCACGTGGATGCATGCTTGATTCATGGAACCCAAGTCCATTAAAACCGGCTGCCCCTCATCTCCAAGCAAGATATTGGTGGGCTTCAGGTCCCTGTAGGGAAGTGGAAATGACCCATGAGTGTCCCTGGACAGGGAAGCTGGAATCCCAGAGGGCAAAAGAATCATGGGAGGAGAGCAGAGATCTCTCATTTCTCTTGGTGAGGCTCTTCCTTTCTGTCCCAGCAGGGACACAGGGCCCTCCCACTGACCTGTGGGCATAACCCTTGGCATGAATGGCCTCAAGGCCTCTGCAGATACCCAGCAGCAGCCGAAGGATCTGATCTTCAGTCAAGAAGTTGCCTTTGTCCTTCAGCCTTTCTATCTCGGTCCACAACGTACCTCTCTGCAACACAAGTTTCCCCACAGTTGGAGAGGCTTTTCAAGTCTCTGCTCCCTGAGCCTGATCCCTTCCCTATGTCAAAAGCCTATCGACCCTTTCACCACACACACTCCACAGTCACCCTTGGCTTCCTCTGAACCCCAAGTGGTCAAACCCAGGACATGGCTTCTGTTTCCTAACATGCTTGCCTGCTCACATAGGCCTTGGGAGGTGGCTCTGTTGCAACCCCCTCTGTAGCCAGGAGACTTTCTGACCTTGAAGAAAGGCAGCAGCAGCCAGGCCTCATGTTTACTGCCCCGCTCCTTCAGACAATAAGCCACAAGGCGAAGGATGTTGGGCTGATAGAAGAGGCGATGCATGTCTGCTTCTCGTTGGGCGTCTTCCCGGTCCTGCTGCTCGTGACACAGGATTCGCTTCAGGGCGTAGAAGTGTCCATCATGTAACCCCTCCACTAGGTCCACATAGCTGAACCCACTGTGGGCCAAAGGGGTCAGTGAAGGACCATGGTCATCTCCCACATGGCTTGGACCCAGAAGAACTCCCTGGGAGAAGAGGGGGCTGTCTTTCCCATTTATTAGAAACCCTCCCAAGACGTGGCTCTAAGAGACATCTGAAGACTATTACACTTTGAGCTCAAGAGCAGGGACATAGTAATCTTTGAGGTTCCACAGTCATAATGCAATGCTCTGAAAATGACAGATGCTCAATAAATATTAAATAAATAATAGTCAACATTTATCAGGTGCTATGAACCAGGCATTGACCGAGACATTTTATATGTGTTCTCTCTTTTAATCCTCACAGCTCCATCAGTGACACAAGATCATTATCTCCGTTAAGGAGATGAAGAAACCATGGCTTATCAAGGTCACACAACGTGGATCTAGGAGGCCTGGCCCCAGAATCCACTTTCTTGACTACGTGTAGCTAGGCTCCGTCAGGTGAGTTACAGGATAGGTTAGAGAATAAAACCTTTATGCCCCTATCACGTGCAGACTTATGTCCCCCAATCACAACCCTGGGGACCAGCTAAGTGATTTCCAAACACTCACCCCTCCCCGAGTTTCTGGATGAAGAGGTAGCGCTTATTGTCAATGACGACAGTTCCCCGAGAGCAGGCACAGAGCGCGTGGCCCATAGTGTCTCAGTCATCCTCCTCAAGGACGTTCTGAGGCTGCCAAAGAGTTCGTCCAGGTTGAGTGGGCTCCTCCAGGCGACGCACTGGAGGCCCAGCGGATCATGCTGGAAGGGAAAAACCGGCAGGGTCGCGGGTCGGGCACAATCCAGATGACCCCTGGAGTCCCAATGTGGAGAGCTCAGGCCCAGGTCTCGGAACCTAGAAAAAACGGGCCCTGGCGACGCCAGCTCCAAGAAGCCTGGGGTCAGGTGCCTTGAAGCCTCAGGCCACACACTACCAGACGCTTCCTCCACCCCCAGCGCACCTTCGGGCGGCCCCGGCTCCCACGCCCGTCGCGCCGCAAACGTACGGCGGAGGCCAGTTCCGGGGGGCCGGGGGGTGCGAGGCTCGGGCCCACCCGTTGCATGGCCCACCCTCGTCCTCGGCGCACAGAGCCCTGGGTTACCCAGCCCAGCCCCCCTACTGACCTGGCTCCTGCCAAAGAGAAGCGCCAGGGACCGGAAGCAGTGGTTACGTCATCAGTCCGCGCTGGCATAACGGCCCGCGGTCTCCTAGCAACCGCCGGGCGTCCGGAGGATGTGGGGGCGTGGAGCTGGGAGGCCGGGGGCGGGCTAGGCCTGGGGAGGACCGGTCCCAGGACCCGCAGAGGGTTCCACGCCTGGCCTTCAGTAGGGGTCAAGACGCAGGCACCTACGGCAAAGGGGAGCAAAGCCGGGCTCGGCCCGAGGCCCCCAGGACCTCCATCTCCCAATGCCGGAGGTAGGAGGCCTCATACCTCCGGCGCGCTGGGTGGGTGACTACAGTTCAGCCCGGAGAGGGACGCAAGGAGGGGGGGAGTACTGGCTGCCTGGACCCCTGGAGCTCTGATCAGTACAACCTGGGAGGCTCTGGCCTGTATCCCACTACCTCGTCTCTGGGCTTAAGAGCTCAGGCTCTTGAACCAGACTAGGGTCTAAATCCGGTCTTAATAGGTCTGAGGTCTCAAGCTGTGTGACCTCAGACAAGTTACATAACCTTTCGGAGTCTCTCTTTCCCTAACTGTAAAATAGGTATAATAGCACCTAAAGTTAAGTGCATGAACAGTGAGGCCAGACTGCCTAGTTCAGATCCCAGCTCTACTAAAATAGTTGTGTGACCTTGGACAGGCTACTTAATGTTCTCGTTCCTCGATTTCCTCATCTGTAAAATGGGAATGATAATTATCTATCTCATCCAGTTGTCTGAAGATTAAATGAGATGTAAAGTGCTTAGCACAATATCTGACACACAGCCCTCAGTAAATGTCAATAAACAGAAATAATAATAATTATTATTATTACCCTGGTTCTCACATCCTAGGTTTGGGACTGTGAAGGCAGGAGTGGAATTCATAAATTCCCAAGCCTTGGCACCAGGCAGCTGTTTTTGACATCTCTTGCCCAGGCAGGCAGCGATCAATTGGAAAGGGGTGCTCTTACAAAGAAGATGGACTGGTCTGGATGGTCTCTTTTGCTGAAACAGGGCTCTCTAGGAAAAAGATCCGTTTTGTAACCCGCCCCCCCCCCGCCCCCCACATCACTGGGAAGATCTTCCTACAGTTTCCCTTGGTTCGGAACCTGTTTTAGCCCCCGGTTCTGACATTCATCTAGATTTAACCTGCTATGTGCCTGGCCCTGTGCTAGAAGCTGGGGATTCAAAATGGGCAAAAGGCACTTCCCATCCTCAGGGAGCTCAGTCTAGTAGAGCACTGCTTAGGATCGCCCGGGAATCTTGTTAAAATACAAATTCTGATTCTATAGGTCAGAGGTAGGACTCTGCATTTCTAACAAGCTCCCAGGTGATGCTGAGGAAGCTGGTTCAAATGTAAAGGATTTTACACACAGTAGAGTAGCGGGTGGCTGCAGGCTGGAGACAAAGTCCAGGCTAATTGCCTGGCAATTTGAGGTGGTCTCCGCCCCCTTGCTCTCTGAGGTTCCCTCCCAGGAATCCACCACGTGATGGTCGGTCCGCTGTCTCTGACTCTAGGACCCCGCTAAGCGCCATGGCTCCCAAGAAGCCCCGCTGCCTTCCCTCCCTGCTGCTGCCGCTCCTGACGCTGCTGCTGCCCCAGGTAAGAAGAGAGGGTTGAACCGGCCGGCTGGGTGCAGTGAGGTGGGATCGGATCTGGCGGAGGAGAGAAAGAAAGTGAAAATAACAAAACAACGGGCAGGGCTAGTTCCATCTCATCTGCTCTTGGGAGACGCTGACTGCCCACTCCAGACCTCTGCTGAGCACGGTCTGTCCCCTTGCAGGCAGACACTCGGTCGTTCGTAGTGGATCGGGATCATGACAGATTTCTCCTGGACGGGGTCCCGTTCCGCTACGTGTCTGGCAGCCTCCACTACTTTCGGGTACCGAGGGTGCTTTGGGCAGACCGGCTTTTCAAGATGCGAATGAGTGGCCTCAACACCGTGCAGTTGTAAGAAGTGCTCGTGCAAGCCAGGGAGGGGTGGGATTTACTCTTCCTACCACCCCGTTACGGGGCTCTGGACAGGAAGACTGGCTGGGTATGAGGAGGGATTAGAGCTCAGAGCTTCCAGGCCAAGGGTGGGAAAGGGCGGGCCAGGACCTCCTTCCAACAACTTCCTGGAGATTCCCTGCAAGGCCTGAGCCCTTAGGCCTCCCCGGCAGTCCCCTACCCTCCTTGGGCCCTGTTAACCTCTTCCTTTCTCAGTTATGTGCCCTGGAACTACCATGAACCAGAGCCTGGGGTCTATAACTTTCATGGCAGCCGAGACCTCATTGCATTTCTAAATGAGGCAGCTATAGCGAACCTGTTGGTCATACTGAGACCAGGACCTTACATCTGTGCAGAGTGGGAGATGGTGAGTTAGTTGGAGAAGGGATAGAACCACAGCCACCCATGTGCAGTTCCTACTATACCCATGTGCCCACACTCTCGGGCCACTTCAACTTACTCTCTTCTTATCTCCCTACTCCACTCTCAGCAAAACCTACATGTTTCTTTGTTGTCTTCGTGTTTGTCTCAGGGGGGTCTCCCAGCCTGGTTGCTTCGAAAACCTAAAATTCATCTGAGAACCTCAGATCCAGGTGAGTTGAGACAAAAGATTTACCACAGGAAAAAGTAAACAATAACAAAATGAGTCATTTGGGTGCCCAAAACAGAAGAGAGTGTCCCCCGATTGGAGATCATTCATTCAAATATTTATTGAGTGTTTCCTTCATGCCCAGCAGGATGCTAGAATCAGGGGGACCAGACAGACCCAGTCGCTGTGCAATGCAACTTATAGTGAAAGAAGCAGATTCTTAAAAAAACCAAAGACCTCTAAGATTATTGCAAGCTGTAGAGATACCACACAAGAAAACAGACAAGGAGTTGAGATCGTGAATAACACAGTGGGCCTCTTGTAGGTGGGGAGGTCAGAAAAGGCTTTTCTGAGAAGATGACATTTCACTTGACTCTAGGGAAGGGAAAGCTCTGGTCATATGAAGAGTGAGGAGAGAACGAGCAGGTAGAGGGAATGGTATATTGTAAGACCCCGAGAATATTCTTCTCTGGGAAAGAATATGGCATGGTTGAGGCCAGCATGGCTGGAGCATAGCGAGTAAGGGAGAGAGCAGTGTGACATGAAATTGGTGATAGATAGTAACTATTAATGCAGGACCTTGTAGGCCATTGTGAGGGGTTCGCATTTTATTCTAAGCACAGTAGAAAGCCATTCAAAGAGTATAACCAGACATACCTGGTTTGTTTTCAAATTACTTTAGCCTGGATATGGAGAATGGATTGAGGGGAGCAAGGGTGGAGGTGGAGAAACTAATTGGGAGACTATGACTGTGGTTGAGGAGAGAGATGATGGCTCCTGGACTAAGGTGATGGTGATGGAAATGGAAAGAAGAGGGCAGAGTTGAGATACAGGTTGGAGATAAAAATCACCAGGACTGTTGATAGAGTTTGATGGGAAGAGGAGGGGCGGGGATAGTGTGGGTAGGGGCCGGAAAGAGAGGAATCAAGTTTCTGGCCAGTCAAGGTGGTGGTGCCATTTACTGATACAGGGAAGATAGAGAAGACTAGGAGTGGCAAAGGAGCAACTCTTGGGGGTAAAAACAATACTTATGGTCATGTTAAATTTTTATCATATCACACTCAGGTGAGGATATTGCAAGCAATAGGATGTGTGAGTGTGGAGCCTCGGGGCGGGGGGGGGGTCTGAGCTAGAGAGAGAAATCTGGGAGTCGTCAGTCTAAATATGGCATTTACACCCATGGGGACTGAGACATCACCTGGGGAAAGAGCATAGAGAAACAAACGATGAGAACTCAAGATTAAGCTCTGAGATGCCCAATATTTCAAGGAATTTGGATTTCATTTCAGGTGCAAATAGTAAGTCATTACAGCAAGGGAATAACTTTATCTGATTTATACCTTTTAAAAAGATCATTCTGGTAAATGTCTTATATCTGCTGGGGAACTCTCTAGGTACTGTTCCACTTCTTAGGGTGCTGGAGAGCTTTATGTCCCTTACGGCATTTCCTAAACTCAGTTGACTATGAAATACGTTTAAAATGATAAAGTATGGCTGGAACACCAAACATGTAATCTCTGTTTTTCTCAAGAAAACCAGTGACCTCTTCGTTGCTAAATCCATGGTGATTTCTTAGGCCTCATCCTCCTTGACCAATCAGCAGCATTCGGCACAGTCTATCACTCTGTCCTTTGAAATACACTCTTCTCTTGGCTTCCATGATACCACACTATCTGGTCCCTGCCCCTCCCCCCTAATCTTTTTGACCACTTCTTCTCAGTCTCTTAGTCATTCTTCTTTATTTTCCTTTCCGCTAAATGCTGGCTTGTTTTAGGGCTTAGTCCTTGGGTGCTTTTCCTTTCTAACTATGTTCACTCCGTAGATGATCTCATCCTTTCGCCTGGCTTTAAATTCCATCTAATAGGTAATAACTCTGAAATGTGTATCTCCAGTCAGGACCCTCCCTTGGCCTCCAGAAATGTATATCCAACTGTCTACTTGGCTTCTGCATTTGGAGATCTAAAAGGCATAATGATGCAACTCAACTCCCGTATTGCTTCCCAAACCAGCAGTTCCTACAATCTCCCCATCTCGGTTAACAGCAACTCTGTTTCCCAACTGATCGGGCTAAACACTATGGTATGTTTGAGGCCTGTTTTTCTCTCACACCCCACATTCAATCCATCAGAAAATCCTGCCAGCTTTATCCTCCAAATATATCGAATTCAACTACTTTTCATCACCCCCACTGCCACCACCCTGGTCCAAACCACCTCTCAGCTGGACTATTTTAATAGCTTCCCAACTGGTTGCCCTTCTTTGCCCCTCCCCCATGTAGTCTATTCTCAATACAGCAGCCAGGGGGATCCTGTTAACATGTTTAATTATCTTGGATCATGTCATTTCTCTGCTTAAACCTCTCCAATAGGTTCTCATGCAGAATATGACCCATGGATTCCTTAAAATGGTCTACTAGGTCCTACCAATTGGACAGGCACCTCCCTGACATCTGCCCTTCTCCTCATTGTCCAGCGGCCTCATTGCTGCTCTTCAAACCCACCAGACACGTTCCTGCTTTGAGGCCTTTGCACGTGTGCTCCCTCTGTCCTCCTGCACAATCTCGTTCTCAGGGAGGCCTTCCCTGGGCTGCCCTCTAACAAACATTTAAGCTCCCACCCCACCATTTTTTATCCTCTTTCTCTGCTTTATCTCTTGTCCTTGGCATTAATGCACTATATATTTTACCTATTTACTTATCATCTGCCTCCCTCACTGGAAATTCCACGACAGCAGAGATTTTTGTCTGTTTTGTTCTATTCTATATCCCTAATACCTAGAACAGTGCTTGGTGCAGTCAGCAACCATAAATATTTGTTGAATGAGATTTAATGTCTGCTTGGATCAAAGGAGGCAATAAAACCTAGGCCTCCTTTATACAGAACACAAAATGTAAAAGAATTAAAATGTTTTAAGAATACGAAAATATCCTTCACTGAACCCACCTTGGAGAGTCTGCTTTCTGCTAGGCATTGTCTTCAATGATAGGGATGCAGGCAATGAAGCTGAGAGACAAGGTTCCTGCTCACTAGTGGGGGAGACCAACGGTAAAGAACTACGGAAATAAATGCTTCATTGTAATTGGTTAAGTGCTTCAAAGAGAAGTATGAGATGATGCGAGAGTGTATAACAAGGGGGTCTACCCTAATGTGGGACATCAAAGCTTTTCTTGAGGAAGTGAGATGTAAGTTAGGACCTGGAGCCTGAGTTGGAGTTGGCTAGGTAAAGAGGGTGGGGAGAAAGTGTCAGGCAGAGGTGATAACATGCAGGAAGACCCTGAGGATGAATCCACAAATAGGAGTTGAGAGTTTAAGGCATGATGCCTACTGTAATGATCTTTCAATTGATGACTTCAATCCCTAGACTGTCAGGGTACAGGTCAGACAGTCTACATTTCTGTGAATTCCCGTGCTACTTCAGAGCAATCTCAAGTATACACTGATTATATAATAATAGCTCCATACGATGTATTTAACATTTTTCTTCCATTTAAAAAATAACCTTACGAGAAATACAACTTTAAGGTTCCCTATGTTCAAATTTCATTGCCATGCAAACATACAAGTGTTAGGGTTGAGAGTTTCTTCTGACAAGAGTAACTGCTCCCCAGATTTAGTTGTGGACAAGTGGATGCAAACTGCAGCCCTGAGTTCAGGCAGCACCGAAGTTGCCAGCACTGATGCCGGGGGTGGGGGCTGCAGAGATGGGGGTGTCCTAACAAGCAGAGCACTGCTCCTTCCTTTAGACTTCCTTGCCGCAGTGGACTCCTGGTTCAAGGTCTTGCTGCCCAAGATATATCCATGGCTCTACCACAATGGGGGCAACATCATTAGCATTCAGGTACAAGTGGCAAGTTGACTGGGCAAGGGGAAGGAGGTGCCAGGGGTCCTGAACCTTCTCCACCTCATAGCTGAGCTCCACCTGTCCCTTCCCCTGGCAGGTGGAGAATGAATATGGTAGCTACAGGGCCTGTGACTTCAGCTACATGAGGCACCTGGCTGGGCTCTTCCGTGCGCTGCTAGGAGACAAGATCTTGCTGTTCACCACAGATGGGCCTGAAGGACTCAAGTGTGGCTCCCTCCAGGGACTCTATACCACTGTAGACTTCGGCCCAGGTCTCCTGAGCAAGGGTGAGGAGTGGAGTTGGGGAACGGGCCCCTCTTCTATGATGTTTATCTTTCACCTTTGCCTCCTTTCTGCAGCTGACAACATGACCAAAATCTTTGCCCGGCTTCGGAAGTATGAACCCCATGGACCACTGGTGAGGAGCCAGAAGGGAGGGCAATCAAAGCAAGAGTCAGGGTTGGGATTGGGTCCAGCTCAGCTCTCATCTCACTCACGGCTCCTTTCACTTCACACGCTAGGTGAACTCCGAGTACTACACAGGCTGGCTGGATTACTGGGGCCAGAACCACTCCACACGGTCCATTCCATCTGTAACCAAAGGACTAGAGAAAATGCTGAAGCTGGGAGCCAGTGTGAACATGTAACTGGAGACACTGGGGCCAACATGAATCTGTAACTGGGTGTTGGGAAAAGTTAAGATTCAGTGGGTCAGCTTGTACCTTTCCCCCCACCCTCCCCCACTTCAGGTACATGTTCCACGGAGGTACCAACTTTGGATACTGGAATGGTGAGTCCAGATGCCCCCTGGGGCAGAAGCAGGGAGGTAGCAAGGAATCAGAATTTGATGGCTGGGGGCATTAGGATGTCTAGAAGCTGGATATGGCCACCACCGCCCCCTCTGATGTCAGAATTCTCTGCATGAATTTCTTTGCTTAGTGTCTATCATCTGAAAGATATATTGAATTAATTAAATGGGTTTGACCGCAGGTGCTGATGAGAAGGGACGCTTTCTTCCAATTACTACCAGCTATGACTATGATGCACCCATATCTGAAGCAGGGGACCCCACACCTAAGCTTTTTGCTCTTCGAGATGTCATCAGCAAGGTGCCCTACCACTTCATTAAGCGCCAAAGGCTTTTATTAATTTGGGGGAAGGGAGTGCCCAAATTGTTCGTAAAGGGATTGTTGTCGGGGCCACAGAGCTCTCTGAGCATCACATGGAAGCATTTCCCACCCACCCAAATGGGACTCTCTGGGGAGATACACAAATATGTACAAAATTACTGGATCTTCATGACCCCTGAAGCCGTTCCCTGGACCCCAGGTTAAGAACTCTGTGCTAGGGTCTTGGCATAGGGGTTGTTTGTGTGGTTTTCTTATGACTCCTGAGAGAATTTGGGCTCAGTTCCAGGAAATTCCCTTGGGACCTTTACCTCCCCCCAGCCCCAAGATGATGCTCGGACCTTTGACATTGCACCTGGTAAGCTCCTCCCCATTTTTTCTCCCATTCTACTCCTTGATTCTCTAAATAGCCCAGTCTGTCCTGCCCTCAGTTCTGATACTTCCCCCTTATTCTAATAGGATGGGGATTTGCTGGATTTCCTAAACTTCCTGTGCCCTCAAGGGCCCATCCATTCAATCTTGCCAATGACCTTTGAGGCTGTCAAGCAGGTAAGGCATAATCTCACATTTGGTGGGTATGGCAACCTTCCTCAACAGCTGTAGCCACAGGTTCCCTCAGCTCAGCATTTTGCCCACCCTTTCTTCTCTCTCAGTCCATCTTAAGTACTCCTTCTTCCCTACCCAGGACCATGGCTTTATGTTGTACCGGACCTTCCTGAGCTATACTGTTTCTAAGCCAACACGATTCTGGGTGCCAAACAACAGAGTCCATGACCGTGCCTACGTGATGGTGGATGGGGTGAGTCCCAGTTTCCTCTCCTCCCCGGCACCCTTAAGCCTTAAGTCCCCATATCTACCTTTTCCCATTGCCTGCTCACATTTGCAGGGTGTCCAGGGATAAGCTGGGATGAGAAAAGGTTCAACTAAGGATAAGGTTCCAGAATGGATGGGTAACTGACAGAAGGGCTGCACTCTCTTTGCCCTCCAAATAAGCGTCCTAACGTGGCTTCCTGTGTGGTGGCCACGAGCTAGACGCTGGGCCCTTCCTCTCATAGAGACTCTCATCCACAGGTGTTTCATGGTGTTTTGGAACGAAACATGAAACACAAATTATTTGTGATGGGGCAAGTGGGGGCCAAACTGGACGTCTTGCTGGAGAGCATGGGGAGGCTCAGTTTCGGGTCTAACAGCAGTGACTTCAAGGTAAGCTAGTTCTGCGCGCCCCCTCGCCCTCATACTCTTACTGACCAAACTCCCTTGGAAAGATAGGAGTCAAATGGCAGATAAACAAGAGCCATGTCCTTAGGAGTTAGGCAGCAAAGCAGTGGCTTCCGGTATCTGGACATGGCCACTAGCTGCATCCCAGGACTTCGTTAGGGACAGTCGGGCCTCAGAGCTTAGTGAGTGATGAATGCGCCTTTGCCTTCTCCACAGGGCCTCTTAGAGCCACCAGTTCTGGGGCAAACAGTCCTTACCGAGTGGCTGATGTTCCCTCTGAAAGTTGATAAGCTTGTAAAGTGGTGGTTTCCGCTCCAGCTGCTGAAAAAGTCACGTCCTCAAAATCCCTCTGGCCCCACCTTCTACTCCACAACGTTTCCAATTTTAGGCTCAAGTGGGGACACATTTCTCTACCTACCTGGATGGACCAAGGTATTGCTCACGATGCTGGTTGGGGTGGGGAGTGGGGTGGGAAGAGAGGAAAATCATGGAAGGCGGGGAGCAGAAATTATTCCTCATTAGAAACCCCAAAGGGGATGATTCTCCCCCCTTAAGAGCTGACCCTTTATTTTCCTCTCTCTTCCCTCCTTCCCAGGGCCAAGTCTGGATCAATGGGTTTAACTTAGGCCGCTACTGGACAAAGCGGGGGCCACAACAGACCCTTTATGTGCCAAGACCCCTGCTGTACCCTAGGGGAGCCCTCAACAAAATCACGTTGCTGGAGCTAGAAAATGCGCCTCCCCAGCCCCAAATCCAGTTCCTGGATAGGCCCATCCTCAACAGCACCTTGCATAGGACATACATCTATTCCCTCACAGCTGATGTACAAAGTACCCCTGAGCCAATGGAGTTAAGTGGGCACTGAAAGAAAGGTAACCCTTGGACCTGGGACATGGAGGGGGCAGGATGCCTTGGTGCTGGCCACAGTGACCACATGGAACCACAGGCCACAGGCCTGAATGTAAGTTCAAGGGCAGTTTCCATGCCAAACTTTATTGTGATTAAAGTTCCAGAGATGGTCCCACCTCCACACACCTCTGTGGCCCTGTCTTTGCCCTGGTTCCCGAATGCCCCTCACCCTAATCTTCCAAATACTCTCCGGTTTCGAGGGAAGGAAGAAACCTAGGGCTAGTGTGAAGGTGCCCTCGCAGGGCCTAGAGCTGGCCCCAATCGGAGCTGTAAGAGATCAGGAAGAGGGCTTCCCAGCCTGACGGCGGTGATGCTGGAGGCAGCGTGTGGAGCAGAAAGAGAAGTCGAGGTAGTGAAAAGGAATGAGGCCTTGGAGGGATGTCCCACAACTCCAGCAGCGTCTGAACGAGAGGAAGAAAATGGCTGGACTGGTACCCCAGAAACTTCCCAATGCAGCTCTCCCCATCCCTCCTCCTGCCATTTGTTTTGCCTCCAAAGGTTTGCAGAACATCTCAAATCCCCTCAACAGCCTTTCAGAGTCCTGTGCAGACACTCATTCCACTCACCCCAAATGGTCCCCACAGCATCACAGTTTGCCCGCTCCCACCTGCCCCCTCCACGTACCGAACATTGACGACGGCAGGGTCGGGGAGCTGAGGGGCAGGGGCTCCCGACTGGGCAGCGAGGCGGCGCTCTGCAGCCAGAGCTCTCTGAGGGGAACAGGAGCTGCGTTCAGGTCAAGGCCCCAGTGGTGGAGAGCATCCCTAAGAAGTGACGGCTGCACACTAGGAAGGGACCGGACCTCTAAGGAAGTTTCGCCGTGGAGAGAGAAGCTGCAGCCTCACCTTCTCGCGGTCGCTGAGGGCGGCAAAGCGCCGCTGCTCTTCTTGCTCCCGCGTCTCCTGCTCCCGCTGCCTCCGCTGCTGTTCTTCCCGCTGCCGCCGGGCTGCCTTCTGCGCCCTTTTCCGCAGAGCCTGCCGCGCCTCCATGTCTGGTGTCAGTGGCCCTGGCACCTGGAGGATTCCCGGGAAAGTATGAGGTAAGGCCTATGCAAACTATGCTTGGTAAAACTGTAAGAAAGGAGGAAAGATCTAGCCAGGATCTATGGTGCCTTCCCACTCTGCTTCTTCCTTTTCCAGCTGACCTGAGCCTTGTTGTAATCATAAGCATCTGGATTCTTCTCCATGAACCTTCGGAACTCATTGCGTGTTGATCTGTCAGCTGCAACTGTATACGGTGGCCGGGCCCGGGAGTCCCTGGGTGCGAAAACCCAAAAAAATGGGTTCAGCTTGCCTCCTGCATCTCCCAACATCACCCACCCAGACCAAGGGGCATACTGTCGAGTAGCCAGTGCCAACGTTAGCCTCCAGATCACCCTCCCTACCTGAAAAGGGACCAGCAGGTGGACCCCTACTTACAGCACAGTGGGGTCGGCACCTGCCTCCAGCAGCAGGCGAACCACTGAGCCTCTCCCAGCTGCAGCTGCTGCGTGCAGGAGGGTGAAGCCACTGGAGCCCAAGGGGGCGCTGAGCAGAGACAGAACTCCAGGGTCTACGGGGCTGGCTGCTAGCTGGAGCTTCAGCATCCCAACGTCTCCAGCTCGGCAAGCAGCTAGAAGCACATCCCAGAGCTCTGGCTGACCAGGGGCCTTGGCCTCATCCAGGGCAGGCCCCAAAGGGGCTGCAGGTGCCTGGGCCGACTGTGAGAAGGCCTCATCTTCTTGAGCTTGCTGGAGAAGAGTCATATGTGCCCCAGCCTCCAGGTCTCGGCTTTTCTCCCTCTTGTTCCTTTTTCTCCTCCTCTGCTTGGGCAATACCTCAAACTCACGAAGATCCAGGGTCCCAAGTGTCAACTCAACTAGCTCCAACTGTACCTGGAAGCTGTCCTCTTCCTCTGACTCTGAAGCTAGGGAAAAAATTGACGTGTTAGATCCATCTAAAGAATAAGCAGAGGGTGGAAGGGTGTGGGCTGCCCCAGATGTATAAGAATGTACATAAAGAGATAATCCAGCATCTTGAAATAATATTGTTTGTATTCTGTCACCTGAGATAAAGGAGCACATCAAGGGCTGAAGCCATTGGTATCACATGCAGAAATGGGGCTCGCAGCCCAGGCCCAGAAGGAGCTCTACAGGGACAGGAGTCTCTGGGCATTCCCCGTGAGCAGCCTCGGGATGGTGCATAGCAGAGGAAAGCCTGGGGGCAGTGACAGCCGTGCAAGCCAAGAGTATGCAGCCAGGGAAGCAGCCCTTAGCCCAAAAGCAGAGCATCCAATAAGACAGGTAAATTATGTGAGATTCGCCCAACACATATCCAAGCATCTACTACATGCTAAGACTTTTCTACGTGCTGGGAATACGTCAACGAACAAGAGATAATAGGAGATTTGGAAAGGTCACTGAACGTGTCTCAGTAATTGCTACCATATGCCCCATATTATTAACAGACCTGTGTGTGTGTAAGGGCTCATCTATAAATAGGGAAGTGGGTCAGTTATGAGAGTAGGGGATTTGCCTCTTGCATTTCCAGGACAGACCCAGATAGAAATATGGCAATTCCCAGATGGTGCTCAAACCCTGTTTGGGAGCGTCCTCGTTCTGCCCAGCTGCCTCATTTTCATCGCTGGGGACCCTTCTTTCTTCCTCAACAGCCTTCTTCCTCTCTCTCATTGTCTTCCAGTGTGTCTGAGCTAAGTCCAACCTGACTGTCTCCCGGGGGTCTTCTCCTGCCATAAAACAAAAGATGTTTCTCAAGTTTAGCTGAGGAGAAGCCAGCCCAGATTTCTCTCAGTGAAGATGCCATCAGGCTGCAGTCCTAGAAAATTATCTGGATGCACAAATGAGAACCTGAAGTTTGAAGTTTGGGCTGGAAGGTCTAGGGAGTCTAGGGATCTGGATAAAAGGCTTACCATAAATATGCAGGGTGGTCAGCTTATGGAGCACACGCTGTAGCTCTTGGAAGGTGGGTCTGCGGGTAGCGAGGGGGATATCCCAAAGTCGGGGATCCCCCCGTTCCAGGGGTGCCCCGTGGCCTCCGAAGAACAAGGACCGGCCAGAGCGAGGGGCACGCAGCAGTATTGTCCCAGCCTCCCCCAGTGCCTTAGCCCAGTCTGGCCCTGCCAGCAGGTCACGAACATCCTGGAGAAGACAGTAACTCAGCCCTGCATGGCTTCACTTGCTGTTAAATCTCCAACCAAAAAATGGCCCACAAATCATATGAAGAGGTAGAAGATGACACAGAGAGAGGAAGAATGAGAGGACTAAGACTGCTGAGGATCCATCCCTATTCTGCCTTTGTCTCCCCAGAAATAATGAAGGCTGGAAGGATACAGGAGTCAACCTCCCTACTGTAACATTTAATGAGTTGAGAAAGAAAAAAGTATGGATTAGAGTACCACCAGATGTGGGACACCCAACTCACCTTATACAGTGTGGCTTCATTGTAGCGCCTCAGGTTGGCTCCAGCAGAGCGAGAAGCCCCACCCCGGGCATCCCGAAGCCCCTGGGCTGTGCCCCGCTTGGCCCGCACTGTGTAGCGGTGAAAGGTTTTGTGTGTCACCACTTCTCTTCTGTAGACAGCACAGACTCAGTACTGGAAACCAGCTGGTACTCCCAGGCTAACAGGATCCATTCCATCCTCACCCCATGCAGCACCCTCTCACCCTTGGAAAACGGCACCAGCAAAGTGCCCAGCTGCAGCCATGAGCACCACGCAGGATCTGGGACCTCCACTTTGCAGGTTCTGTAGCAGCAGTTCTGGTTCTTCTGGGGGCACCTGGACGACAGAGGAGCAGCACAAACATCCTATCTGTTGCATCCACTGAGAGCAAGAAACCAAGTGCCACTGCTAACAGCTTCACACGCATTCCTTCATTTAATACAACCACCCCAAGGCTCATCAAGATCAAGTGATATAATCACAATTCAAACCTAGATTGGTCTGTTTCCAAACTTGATTCCATTACACTTGATCATTCCAGGATTCAGGCCAGTTCAATCCAAAACTATGCTGTCAAGTGTGATACCCACACCCAACAGGAAGGAAGGGAAGAAGTGAAAAATGGACTAGGCTATGGGGAAATCTAGAATGACTGTATAAAAGGCTGGAGTTCACTGCACAACCTGTGCTGACACTTGCCTGGCGAGGACCTAGGACACAGCGATAGGCATAAAGAAACTGGCCCTGCGCATTTTGGAAAAGAACCCGATGTGGGTGGAAGCCTCGGGGTCTGTTAGGCTTCTCCAAGTCAGGCCTCTCCTCATCCAGTATCTGCAAGTCCTCCTCATTGTCTGAGTCTGAGTCTTCTGATCCTGAGATGCTGGAAAGATCTCCTGAGAACAACATGAGATACACGAGTTTGGTGCCCTATCTCTGACCTCTCCTCAAGCTCCTCCACTAGGGCCTTCCTCCACCCCATGTCCTACCCCCACACGGCTCTCCCACCAGACCTCACCTGTGGAGCTCTGCTTTTCAAAGTCCACGGCAGACAGGAAAGGCTTGTCCTTGAGACGCTGCTTTAGGTTAAACCGATGCCAATCAAGCTTATAATGTTCCCTCTAGCAGGAGGAGAGGGAGGCAGAATGTGGAAATATGCCCAGCCTGGCGTTTTATGATACCCAAGACCAGTAACAGAACTCCAGGAAGTGTGACCAGGTAACACCAACTGCCATAGTCAAAACATGGACCTCTATTAATTAAAGACAAATGTCTGCCTCTCTTCACCCACCATTATACTTTTGCTTCTACCATTTAGCTCTGCACCTGGCCCTTTACCTGTTCCTGGTGGTTCTGGAAGGTCTGGTCACAGGTTGAACAAAGTAACTTCTCTGAAATATCTGGAGGACCCTGGAGTGATTTTCTTTGTGGGCTTGCTCTCTCCCCTGAACCTAAATAAGGGGAGGGTAATTAGAGGTAGAAAGGGAGCCCAGGGGCCGGCCCCATGGCTTAGCGGTTAAGTGCGCGCGCTCTGCTACTGGCGGCCCGGGTTAGGATCCCGGGCACACACCGATGCACTGCTTGTCCAGCCATGCTGAGGCGGCATCCCACATACATCAACTAGAAGGATGTGCAAGTATGACATACAACTATCTACTGGGGCTTTGGGGAGAAAAAGGGAAAAAAA